TTTCTGTTGATGTACAATCAAGATTCACTTGCTAGGGGTCAACACAAGTATGTTCCAATGTGTTTCCTTCACACAAATTCTTTGCGATATTAATCAGAAATATTTAGAGTAAGTACTAACATGATTTCTGAAGCAGTTTTCTAGAGTTTACAAATACCACAGTGTTGACTGTTTATAACCCTAATTCTGTTGTCTGCTGTCCCTGTAAGACATGAATGCAAAAGGCCTGGTCACCCAGCAAACAAAGGATACAGACTGGAGAAGTGCCAAGGAAATGAAAAGGTTTTATATTCTTTGCAAGAACATTTGAGTCACTTGACCTACTAAAAGTGTTTTGAGGTGCATTCACTGTTGATTGCGTTTGTTTTCCAGGCTCACTGCCACTACATCACAGTGAAAAACTTTGCAGAAACTGTGGAAAAACTCGAGACCAAGGCTGGCATCCAGAGGGTTATGAAACATCTCTGTGACCTCTTTGCACTACACGGGATCTTCTCGAATACAGGAGCCTTCTTGCATGATGGATACATATCTGCAGCTCAGATGGACATGGTCACAGCATCCTACCTGGACCTCCTGGCTGTTATTCGGTGAGCTGCTCTGGCAGGAGACACACAGCTATACAGTTTGTCCCTGTAATAGATACAAAATGGTGCTACTGTACCTATGGCAACATCTCCACACTCAATTCACCTCGTTCAGTTTTTATTTTCATTGCCTGGCAGCACTACAAATTGATTGAAACATCTACACAGAGCTTGTTTTCATGGTAAAACAGATCATGACAAGTGTCCAGCTCCTCTGCAATCTCTGAAAGTTCTGTAACATGAAATCTTAAATTATAAATGAAGAAGTCCTGAACACTTTATACCATTTTCAGTAGAGCGAAAACACGAAAATGTGTAGTCAGAGCAGCACTGGCAGGAGGCAGCCACAGCAACCCATCACACACTGCAGAATCTGCTCAAGCCGCAGCTAATACAGCCCACTCTGTTGCCATGGCTGAGCTGCAACTGGTACCCAAACAATCCTGCCTACAGCTACTTCAGATGCATCTGCTCGACACAATTTGTCACTAACTCTGTGAATTCTGAGTTAAGGTTTTTACTTACCACAACACTCACAAAGGCCTTTTGACAAAGCATTCATCTTTCACTACTCAGTGTTGTTTGTTTAGAACAGATTATGGTGCAGAGAAGTGAGTTTTATGTAAAATTCTACTTAAGCCACATGGAGAGAAACACGAACACCACAAGCAAGGGCTGAACAGGGCTGAGCCAAAGAGCAAGGCTTTTCAGAACTGATCATGGAATCTCAGTTAAGTGATGAGCTCAACGTAACATTTGCAAAAGATTAATATGTTGTTGCCTCTGGAATTCATTGCAGCTTCTGTTTTAGTCCATGCCTTGTTAACAGGATTCAAGAATGAAGTGAGTATTTACATATTTCCAATTAGTAGAAAGAATACAAACACTTCCTGGTCTGTAGCAAAATCTCAGCCTTTCCCAAACCACCGAAGAGCCCTTACTCAAAAGGAACTGGGAAGATGCAAATGCCAACATTTGAGCAAAACATTTTGCATCCCGGTACCTTGGGTGTGAGGTACAGCCAGCATGACTTCCTACACGCAGGACAGTGGGAGGACAAGGAAAGAGAAACCATCTCCTGCTTAGAAGAAGCTGCCTGTGCTGCAGCTCTCAGTTGCTGTCAGACTGGCTCCTGGTGTGGGTCAGGGTTGCTTTGCTCTTAGAGCCACAAAGAGAATAAAATACGTCAACACCTCATGATGAGGTAATAGAAATATTGAAAGGTAGATGGAGGTTGGAGATCAACAAAGCACTTCACATCAATCCAATAGCAACCTTATTCCATTTTATAAGACAAACACCCACAGCGTGAGAAAAATAAGACAAAAATCAAAAGAAAGAACTGGTAGAGACTGCTGAGAAAACATCTGACGTGAGATTGAGTCCTGAATTAGGGAATTAGGGACAGAGCCTGCAAACTCCCATTCAACAGCACAGACAATTCAGGGTATTAGTAGAACATCACAGAACTGTTAGGGTTGGAAGGGACCTCTGGAGATCATCTAGTTCAATTCCCCTGCCAAGGCAGGGTCACCTAGAGATGCCTCTGAGGAATCAAAAGAAGCAGGCTTTTCCCCCCAGTATAGACAAGGAGAAAAACTGGCACAGACCTTCTAGGCTGAGGAACCTGGACAACTGACTTCCAAGTTTATCTTTTATCTTCCCCCCTTACAAAGCAATACCTGCTTCAGTAACACAAATGTCACTGCTCTGCTCCGTAGGAAGGACGCCGTTCCACTGGTGGATGCCTTTGACTTCACAGACAAGAGCCTGAACTCCGCGCTGGGCAGTTACGACGGGCAGGTTTATCAGCGGCTTTACGAGTGGGCTCAGAAGTCCCCCACCAACAAGGTATGGATGGGTTACAGCCAGACAACTTCCCCATTAGCCAGAGCAGAAACTGTTTGCTTTCCTTCTAATAAAAGTAATACAGATGAAAGACGTGAGCTTTTAATTCCTTGTATCTCACTCTGAACAATGACCTGTGACACTCCAATCGTGCCACCCACAGTCTGAGCTCAGACATTTAACCTAAAAATGAGTTAGAGCCTGCAGAGTACTAGAGCCTGTGCCAGGGAGCTGGGCTGTCATGTGCCACTCATGTGGTTTTGGTTTTTAAATTTGTATCACCGAGGTTACATTGTACAAAATAAGCTAAAATAAGTCTGTTTACATATTATGAAACAGCACTAAATGCAGGGTATTTTATATACACTGATACTAGTGCAAAACTTGAGGGTTTTAATAATATGTTTAACCAGAATGAGTATAAATGTTAAACAAGGCAATCTCATCCTTCATGGTCTTTAGAACTTTACTTTCTCTTCTTAAGTCATCCATATTGTGGAGTAATGTAAAATTCTGCACGATGTAAATATGCATTGCTCTGTTGGAAAACACATTTTGCCCTGAATGAGATTTTCACTGTGTTAATCAGTAGCCCTTTGAAATCCTACAGCTAAACACAAAATTTGCCTTCAGCAAACATTCAAGTCCAAGCATATTTTTTGAAGTTAAATAGTATTCTGTCCCATTTGGGATGAGTTCTGTGCTGGTTAGGAAGGACAGCACATACTATAGGGAACAAGATCTTGCACACAGTTGAAATAGCTGGTGGTTTGTTGTTTGCTATTTTTTTTTTAATAGTCTAGCTTTCTGTATTCCAGAGATTGTTCTTAAGAAAAAAATTATAGCCTTTCTGTTCTTAATTGCCATTAATTCCCTTCCACATTCTCTTTCTGAACAGATGAGCCCAGCCTACGAGAGGTATTTGAAGCCACTTCTTCACAACGCACTATCGAAATTATAAAGAACGTGTTCCAAGTGAAGGACACACGTTTCCTCCTGTTCTTTGTGCAGCAGTACATTTATGAAGCATCAGTAATGACTAATCAGAATTAATAATCAGTTGCTTACTTGCAGTTACAACAAGTATGAAAGATTCTCAGCGAGCCATTTGCAATTAGACAGACGCCAAGCAGCGCTGAGTGGTACCCACTGCTATGAGACAGCCCAGGAATGGTCCAGGGTTCACTGTTTTCTAACCTGAAGTGTCCTGACAGCATCAAAACAAACAGCTTCCTTATTCTTTTTCTAAATCCACTATATGATGATTAAGGAAGAAAAAAAAAAAAAAACCACCACCACATTATGAACCCCCTCTCAGGGTGTTGGAACTATACAGTGCCTTCAAAAAAAAACCCCAAAACAACCAACTGTACTGAAAAATCCAGTGAAGGTAAAATTATGATCCTTCGTTTCTAAGAACAACTTGTTCTCTTTAATCAAAAAGTATATTAGAAAGTACATCTGTTTGGACAATTAAAATAGCTCTTGACTTGCTCAGCAGTGGAATATTCCTGCCTAATCAAGATTCAGACAAAGCTGATGCCAGCTTCAGTCTGCAGAATTTACCTTCCCATTAATAGGGCTGCTCATCCTGTCTTTCTATAAATCTTGGTCTCCAATAAAGTGTATTATTTGCAATACTGCTTATCTAATTATTACACTTCATAATTATGGAAAGGGCAGGCTGATCCAGGCCAGTCATTAATTTGCTAGTAAATGAAGTGTCGCAAAGAACATCTTCTGATTATAATTCAATGCCAGTTAACACAAGTATTTCTTACCACATGTTGCAAGAAAGAAACAACCACTTTTCCTGAGCTTCATCAGTTCTGCTTCTCTTCCCTCCCTGATAGGAAGTATAAAGCTCTTGCTGCTGCCTCTTATTACATAAGTCAAAAACCTGCAATGTATAAACAGGGAGAGACAAAATATGATAGACAAATACACTCCCAAAACAGGCCTTTAGAGTGAGAGATGGAATGGAAAGTTCCCACCTACTTGTGACAAGAACTTCACAGGATCCACTCCACAAAATAGGTATCAACTCTCTTACTCCCAACAGCATTCAAGTAAAAGCATAACCAGAAATTCTATTCATAACTATGACAAAGTTCCCAGGATAAGCAGAAATGTCAATGTGAAATAGAGTAAAGCCACAGAATTTGACTATCACCAGAAACAGCACTCTGCAGTTAAAATTATATACATAATAAGTCACTAGATATAGTGCTGTGAACCAGATAACACTATTTAGCAGCTACAGTACTGAGGCTCTGTGTTCCCTCCATCCCTATCCCTTTAGCCAGTCCAAATACGTGCCATCTTTCTATCAGTCTAAAGCAGTTTTCAGAACATAAGCTTTGTCTATAATGAGGACATTTGATTCAACTGATTAACAGAAAAAGGAACAAATTAAATCAGTAATGGAGGAAAATGGGGCCGTACCAGAGCACCCGACTCTGCAGCACAGAAAAACGGGGTTTGGGTGGGGTTTTTTCCGTTTGGTTGGGTTTGTTTTTTTAAGTATGAGAGTTCTAAAAGACAAAAAGAAAATACAAAACAGTATTCTGTATTTCACATTTTTATTAGCTTCTTGCTGGCAGGCATTACACTTGGGAATAATATTGCACCAGGCATTAAAAATATGAATTCTACCACAGGGACATTTTGCATTTAGAATCCAATATAAATATTTCTAATCATATTTCCATGGCTACAGATAATATTTGGTTGCTTGATTTATATGCATAGAAAGAAACAGTTGTCATAACTGTAAGAAACTGTACTTATCAAGTACTTTTAAAGGGTGGGATTTGTTTTCCTAGAATATTACAATACTGTTTATTGATTTAGAAACTAAATTAGTCTACACAATAGCAGCTTCTCCCCAACTGCATTTTAAATTCTTTTTGTTTCTTGCTCCCAGTGTCATAGCATTAGATGGATTAGAAACCATTTAGACAGAGGTAATTTTAGCACTTTGAGTCGAGTCAGAGAATTGTGTTAATGACACAAAATACCCTATTGTACTAATTCTTCGGACTCCCTCTTTCAAACAAAAAGGTGTCTTGACTGAACAGGCACATGCACGGTTTTTTTCTGATCAGGACAAAAGAACAGAGCTGCTAGAGAACGAAACTCCTCCAGTCCTTACTGATAAACAATAAATAGTTGTATAAAAAAAGCCCACATTGTTGCTTTAGTCAAAATCCAGACTCTCTTGGGTTTGCTGTCCAATTAAGTTGCTAATCACTGAAGTGGCTCCTGTGGAGTCAGAATCAGTCATCTGTTTTCCGTGCCAGTCTACAGAAAGTCCAGTTATGCTCCACTGTGTTTTCATTGGCACGCTCGCTCATGTGATGAACTCTGGTGTTCCTGATCGTGAAGCCTTGCTTTGTGATGTACTCCATCAGATGGACTCGGAGCGACACTTCCTGGTGGTAGTCGCATGGCCCAAAAGTGAAGGAAACCTGGCAGTCCCTGGTGTCCATCATGTGCTTGTTCCACTTTGTGAAGTGGTTTGAAATGCCTTCCAGTAGCGCGTGGACTTTCGTCGTGATCGTGAGCTGTGTGATGATGACGGCCACTGGGTTGGAGTACTTGGAAAGCTTCCGGGTGCTGGACAGCTCCACCACCTCCTCAAAGGTATCCACAGGATACAGTGGCTTGGGGTCATTAAGACACTGAATTAGCGGCTCAATCTGATAGAAGTCCGCTTCCTTCCGGAGGAGATCGAACTCCTTGAAGTCCAGTGGCAAAGTGAGCTCTGAGGTCCTTAAAAAGTTAAGAACATAACGGAAAAGTGGTCCATCTCTGTCAATAAAGTAATTGCCCTGAGAGTCCCTGGCAGTGGGGAAGTCTCCCCTGAACATGGCCCCGAGCATTGAGTCAGGATATCTCGTTAGAGTTGTGAGGGAGGTCGTATACATGTGTCCACCCACATTTAGCGTGACTGGATCAGTCATCTAGAAAGAGAGAAATTGCAGAGTTTATGAAGCCACCACACAAGATTCGATCACCTCACTGACACACATGGCAAATACTGCTGGAAAACTGGGAGAGAATCACACTCCTCCCGTTCAAAGCCTTTAACGGGTGTTTAAACCTGGACAAATCCAAACCACCTGGCAACAAGGCACAACTGGCAATTAAACAGGATGATACTTAACACGCAGAACCCACATTTCCAGAATGCTTTAGAAATCTGAACAACTGAGCTACTGTCAGAGAAGCGAGTTTTGCATTTGGGCAACAAGTTTTTTCCTATTCTACAGATGGGGAAATGAGAACAGAGAGATTTCCTGACGAACAAGTTAGTCTGAATGAGGCCCAGCAGTGTTCCTTACTTTCACAATCTGTCTCTCATTCTAGAACAAAACCAAATAAAAAAAAAATAAATAAAAAAAAGGGAAAAATCAACCAAACAAGTCTTAAACCTCTTTTTCTCCTTCAAAAGAGGAAGACAGTGCAACTTGACACATAGGACCAAGAGCTCACAATCAAAATAATCCGTGCCCTGGTTCAGAGGCATCATTAAAACAAGCAGAGAAAAAAAAAGAACTTTCAGCTTTTAACTCTAAAAAGAAGTATTTATTAACAAATTAGCATGCTGCATAGAAGAGGGGGGCAGAGCACAAACCAGTCTGCATCAGCTTCCAGATAGCTCATGAGGAAGCAAGAGAGAAAGGAACATAAATCCCATCTGGCCACCAACCCTAACAACCAGGACTGTGGCCAGCCAGAGAAGAGAGACATATGCATGGCAGCAGAATGAAAAGGGGAGAAAAATAAGATGTGTTTGTCTAGTTTGCGACAAGGTTTACAAGGAAAAATACTTTTCTTTATAAATAAAATTACAAAGTCCTTAAAATTATATGCAGGAAGCACAAACTATTTTCAGTCTTTGTGTTAGGAAAACAGTAACAGTGAGCCCCAGGCATCAGTTCAGTCCTGGTTGATTGTCACTATGAAACATGAACCTGGGTGCTCCCCACAAGCTGCAGCTGAGGTGCAGCACTCCAGAGAAGGTAAGTAAGCTGTTGTAAAGCTGGTGTAACATGCACAGTTTTCCTTCTCACACGACTGAAGCTCTGGAGCTACACAAGACAGATCTGGAAGGATTCTTGCTGCAAGACCTCAAAAGCCCAGTTGTACCACACAGCACACACTTGCACAGGCTCACTCACCATATATCCCCAGTCTCCATTATCCATCTGTTCAATTGCTTGAACTGTGGTATTCCAAGTTTAACAGAAGGCTGCTGAAAGGATACGCGATTCACCTCCTCTTATCTCTCTGCAGGAAAAAGCACACAAACAGAGAACAAAACATGGCAGACCATCAGTACCTACAAGAACACCAAGGGGAATACTTTCCAATCAAAGGCAGGCTCTCTGCCAGGACAGCCACAAAGCCACATTAGCAGGAGAATCTGCAAACCCGCTTCTCCCTCCTTATCCCTTCATGCTACCCACAGGACTGCCTCTGGAGCCACTCCAGTGGCTGCCTGAACATCCCAGTTTTGTTGAATAACAAGCAACGTGCCTCTGAGGATAATACACGTTCACAAACTACCTTTCACCTGGGAAACTCTGAGTACTTTGAAAGACAGATGTCATTTTCCCACTCAGCCACCACTGAGGTCACACATGTGATCCGTTACTATTAGTCAGCATTCCCATGCTTCAGTTTCAAACTGCTCAGAAGAATAAATCAAGCATGAAAGTCAATGAACAGTAAGAAGAAAAAAATTCTCACTGCAGAGTTAATAATTTAGCAGTGGAGAACTGTAACTGATAGGAAGAACATTAATCTACAGACAAAGAGCATGAATGGACTTCCCAGACATCTACTCTTGAAAGCAACCCCTGTAGAGACAAGCCAGAGGACACCAAACATATTTTCAACACATTCCAACAAAAGCAATTTGAGAGAGGTTCATGCCGTGACTTCCCAGACGATGCTGAACTGTTGACTTGCATAACAAGGGGACTGTCCACATGAGCACAAGGCAAGTCCACAGCGAGGGTTGTGCAACTCGGGGAGGGGGGAAGTGAATGACCTCAGACCTCAGTGTTGATTTTCCAATGGTGGCCTGTCAACCATGTCAAGCAATGCAAGGACAGGGAAGCCAGTTGTCAGTAAGCCTTTATCCCTACCCAGAGCCTGCCGCTCTGCTAGAATTGCTGAAAATTTAGGTCAGCCTGTTTTAAGTAGGGTACAGCTTCTCAGCTTTGTTTATTTTTACATCTTAAAGACCACACAGTTTCCAAGTCTCCTGCTCCCATCCTCTTTACTAACAAACTTCAACAGTCACCCAGCTAAAGGCAGATAAAGATTTAGCCGAGCCAGAGACCTACAAACCAAAACAACTGAAGGTTCATAGCTAATTCCCAACCAGAAAGATAACTTGCCCTTCTCTTTCCTAGCAAATAAGGTTGGTCTGATTCGACACAGAACCAGGCAGCATATCCTACCTCTCTGGGCTCTGCTTCCCTGCCCAAACCCACAGACTGGGCACAACAGTGTCCAGCAGGTCTTCCAGTGCCAGCAGCACAAGCACAGCCCCAGCTGCCTCTCAGACGGATTAAAGAGTACAAAAAGCAAAATCAGTGTATGAAAATTGTGAGGCCAGACAACAGAAGACTAAGGAATACTAAGATACAGAACTAGTCATACCAGGATCCTATTTTTACAAATTAGAGACGGAGTATGCTTCAAGAAAGTACATTAAAGCACACCCCCCGACAGCAGATAAACCTGGAACGCTCGTTTGCCAACCTCTGTAATTATTTTTTTAAATGTTCACAGATCAAGAAGTGAATTCATTCAAGTTTTCTCTGTTTGGAATTGTCACTCATTAACTTTTATCAATAGCCCAGACCTTTTAAATTCCAGCACTTGAAAGTGTTAATCTGGTCAAGTACGAGGCCAGGAGAACATGCAGATGTGCTAAAATCACATGAGACTGGTATAGGTTTCTGATATTCAAGGAAAACACTCACTTGAAAGTGAAATGATGCAGCCAGACGGAAACCTCACTAGTAATCATGGCAGAACAGATCTGCAGTCTTAATAAAATTAACTGGAATTACACATTCCGAATATTTCAAAGACAGAGAGATGTCCATCAGTGTTATTTTAACTGGTGGATATGATGTTATTTTGGTCAGCATCTAAATCCACACTACAGATGAATCAAGACTTTATGGGGGAGAGAAAGAGATGACACTGCATGCCCGTGCAAAGGCATGAACAAATCTTTGATCACAGCACTGCTGTGTAACACCACAGTGAATAATTCACGAGAGCAATTATCTGAAACAAGCCTAGCCCTCAACACAGAATTGGAATCGAGAAATCTCACTGACCTTTGTGTAAGGACCCAGAACCACGAGGCACACACAAACCTCCCTGGCAAACCAGTGCTGGAGCAAGATGTGCAACACGAAGGGAAGACACCAGGAGGCCATCCTAAAATGATGCCTGAGTGTGATCCCAACTATCCACTGCTTCCCTCATCAGCCTGGGAGCTCTGAATTTCTGAACAACAGGCTAAAGTAGCTCAGTTTGGGTACAACTTGAGCTAAGGACTAGCAAGGCTGGGGATGTACAGCCTTCATGACATATGCCTTTACAACAATGTTTTAAAATCTTCCTGAATGGAATACAGTGATCATCAGTGGGGATGGGCAGACACTCCAACCATACTCCAGGACAGGCAGCCTCAAGCCAGCTCTGGTCCCTCTCACACAACAACAATCTGCACACAGGGTCAGCCTCACCAACACAGCTACACCGTCCAGGCAGCAGATAACAGATGACATCCTTTGATAACCATCAGCCTGCCTTTGATAATCACAAGAAATACTCATTTGAGATGAAATTCAGACAAAGTGCCGACACCATTTAAGTCAAACAGGATGTCCCTCTTTGGTGGGAGCAGAAGTGCCTGGATGGTGTCAAGCCACAGTCCTGCCGTTGTTGAGCTGTTCCGTGCACAGGGAGGGGACACACAGCAGTGACATGGTCACCGTGGCTCCTGCCACAGCCCAGCACAAGCACAGCCAAAACTGGAAAGGCACAGTGAGAAGCGAGAAAAGCACTCAGGTCATCATTTTATACTCAACACACCAAACTGGGTACCTCCATTTACAAAATGCTCGCTCTTATTTCATGTATTATGACTCAGAGGATTACAGGGCTGTTTATCAGCAGCACTGCTGCAACAGGTAGTACCACTAACTTCAGCAGGGCTTCTCCCAGAACAGAGCTGCTAACCCACAACCATTCTGCAAGCTGAAATTCAGAGACAGCAAGTAAGGTGAATGTATCTGTGAACACACACCTGGGCTCAGGCCAGGCCCAGGATGCCAGCAGCACTGCAGGCATTTGCACTGCTGGGACTACAGGCACTGCATCAGGTTGAGGCCACAGGCTACAAACCACTGCACTGATGTCACACACAGTTACCCAAAGGAGGAGCAGAAATACACCTAGCAGTTTTAAGTCAAGAGGCAAAGACCACCTGATTTGTTCTGAATGTTCTTCATCTATTTTTTTCCAACAAAAGAATTAAGGGATTTATTTGTGGCAATAGTGTTTCATGAGCAGTTTGGTATCAATATTACAGCACGAGCTGTTTAACCTCAAGAGTTACCTTTGATTTCTAGGTCAATATAGAGCTGGCAGGAATTTTACCAATGGCAGCTTAAAAAATAGCAAGCTAAGACTCCACTTATACAGACACATACACCTGGCATTTCATTTACTCACCCTCTCTTGAGCTCCCTGCCTCTCAGACTTGGATCTCCAAAGATGAGAAGAAACTCCAGCCCCAGCACAGTTATGCTGTACATGGACAACCTCTCTGTTCCCAAGCCAGTCAGAACATTTGAAAGGCAAGTTCTTACTGTAAATTATTGGTGACTCACCTGAACTGACAAACACTGAACAGCAGCAGTGCTGACTGTACTCCACCAAACTACAGCAAAACAACAGTCTGCAAAGCAACCCCTGAGCTCCAGTTCTGTGCTACCCTGTTAACCAGGAGAACAAGGAGGAGAAGAGCTCCCAAAACAACCAGTTACCCGAATCTTCTGGCAATTCAGCCAACTGGCTTCACTAAAGAAAGCATCTACCACCTTCTACACGTGTCAGGTTTATAATGACTAATGCAGTTTATTAAATGTTAACTTGATTTTCTTGAGTTGTTTTTTACTAATACTCAGTCTGCACCTCAGGCAGGATGGAAAAACGCTCACACCAGACACTCAGCATTTTCACTCCTTTATGTTTAATTGCTTCACTATAAATTCCAAGCTCCTGAAGTTTCCTTCCCTCCCCCGAGGAGCTCTGTGACATCCTGTTTCAAGCCCAGATTCCAAACTTTCCTTTTAATTGCTTCTTGTTGGAAGAGCCCTGGTCCTGCTGAAGCAACCCAGAGCACCCAGGCTTCCAGGATCTGTGACAATAATTGAGTTTCACCCACGTATTTTCCTTCTGTGACACTAATCAGTGTTGTTCCCATGTGGAAACACGTCTCCAAACAGTTTTGGAGGAGGACAGGTGTCAGAAACACCGAGCCTCGCTGCACACACCGATGGGGCTCAGCACACACACAGACAGCAAGACGGGGAAGAAAACCCCCTGAGAGCCCAGAGAGGGGGCCAGGGCTGCAGCAGGAGCCGGGAAGTGCCCGTTTCCATCACAGAGGAACCAGCGAGCTCATGGTAGCAGAACTCTCTCCAGGATCAGAGTGATTCAGCAAAGACGCTGGAAATGAACCCAGACATTTCGTCTCTCCCTCCCACAAGTGACCCAAGAGCCCACGGCCTCATCCCCACCCCAAAACAGAGCCCCAGCCCTGCCTCTTCTCCCCATGGCATGACCCACTGCCCTCCTCGCCCGGAGCAAAGCCCACGGATCCCAGATCATCCTCACCAGAGATCCCCGCCGGGCACCGCGGCTCCCGCCCGGGCATCCCCCCGCTCCGCCCTCAGCCCAGCCGGGAACGGGACCTGGGCAGCACCTGCACCATCCCTGCCCGAGCTCCGCGGCCGCGGCTCCCCGTTCCCGGCCCGAGGGAGCCCCGGGGACCCGGCCCCGCACCTGCCCCGCACTCGCGCCGGGACGCGCCCGTCCCGCCCCAGCGCTCCCGCCGCGGGCGCGGCCCCAACCCCGCAGGGCCCCGCTGTTCCCCCGAGCCGGGGCACCCCCGGCCCTGCGCCCCCCGCCCGGCCCGGCACTCACGGGCGCAGCTCCCGGCGCTGAGGCGGAGCCCGGCGGCAGCAGCAGCGACGGGGACTGTGCCCGAGCCCGGAGCGGAGCCGCCGGCGCGGGCGGGGACGGCGGAGCGGGGGAGTGTCCTGGCGAGCCCCGCCCCGCCTGTCGGTGGG